TTTTAAATGTCAAACTTCGCGTCTCGATCATGAGTGGCTTCCTGAAGGCCCTTGAAGGATACGCTATTTATAATACATGAAAACAAGAGATATGTAGTCTCCTTTCTTTCAGTTATTTCATCGAAACATGTGGCCATATTTATTCGAGGAACATTGTGTATATCTTTCCTTCCATCTTACAATATTGTTATTAATATCGCAAATCATAATTTCCGCATGTATTAAAAGTCGATTGTTTTCTTTCTGTCGACACATCCTTAAAAGTATTTCTTCTTTCTTGAAAGAAATAGGCGATCAAATTCTCTATTTGTTGAATAATTCGGTCGAATAAAATTTATTGGATGCAATCTTTTTCACGATAAAATTGTTTTACATTCATCAATGTTATCGGAAGATATAGCCGATGAATTATCGTAAATAGAATAATAGAAGCATGAACTGTTATAAATTTTGATGATACAATGTCCGAATACACTTCTGCATGTACTTATTTTATATATATAAACTTTTTATTTTTTACCGCGATTTAAAAACGCGCAATTGATAAATCGATTAAGATCACGATAAAGTTGCATTATTTCGATGCTTGTAATTAATTAATTAATTAATCGACTAATTAGTTTGTTAAATTTGTAACTATGTGTACTTACATTTTACGCTATTATAATAATAGCAAAATTGCGTGAGTGTTTGAAACTTTTTTTTTTTAATTCCATATCTCTGTGATTATTTCGTAATGTAAATTTACACAGCTATTACAAGTATTATTGTTATATTTGTGTAAGATAACATTAATAGTAGACTCCTCGTGTCCGTTACCTACTTAATACAAAGTTAAAAATGCACAAAGTTTAAATCTTTCTTTAAATCTGCGAATGTGTGTGTATATATATATATATATATATATGTGTGTGTGTGTGTGTGTGTGTGTATTCCACTGAGTGTATGTACGTGCATATTTACATATGCACGTTACATGTGCACAAAGCACATGGTTGATTTACATCTGGCACTTGCCTGTGCTGTTGCTCCTCTCTAAATTTTCCGGAAACCCAAATTAAAAGAACGAATCAAGAGCTCCACAATGGTACTAATATACATTATCGCACAAACACCGCATCAATACAACTTACATGTTACGATATAGAAGTAGTAAATTATATCGTAAAACTTTTCGATCAATAAAATGATTATTACAATATTAATAGTATTTTAATACTTTTTTTTCATATTTTTATATTTCTAACACATGAGACGTTCTTTTAATTTCAGGTATCCTAATATTTGGAAGGCCGCTGATGTATAATTTCCATAATTTTCAAACCAATTTTTAAACTAAGGACTATAGCCTATCTAATAGAACTAATGAAATAAGCATCATGTCCAAAATAAACATTCTTGCATTTTTATTCAGAATAAAAGAATATTTTAGACACATATGTACTTGTTTTACAATTACTCTTTCCACACAATTATGTGTGACAGCAATCCATGATGCTGTCGTACAATTTCTAAATTAAAAACATTGGTCACGAAAAAAAATATGCAAGAAGTTCTCAGACATCTCTTATTATGTTCTAATTAATTAGACTATAGACCGAAAATGATCTTATATCATCAATATTGGGATTAACTAAGTTAGCGTTGGTCGTAAAATCGTTGATAGTTTTAGCATATTTAATACACTTCACGCTGTATCGATGAAACTTGTTTAGGAAGCTGAACGACAAAACATCAATTGGGAAAGGCATGGAAGTGAACGTAATCCTATAGCAATTTCAACAAAGCGTATGTCTCATTCTATATTGTACAATTTCCTCGTATGTAAGAAGTGTCACGTATGCTTCGATCTACTTCGACAACGTTTCAGCCACTATATCTTTCCCATGTATAGGATGTGTCACTTGAAATATTAATAATAAAAAAAAATTAATTTCTTTTTTATATAAAGATTATGCTACAGATAAAGAAATTATAAGTAATAATCCTGGTGGAACATTTAATATAATTATAAACTCCATTATAGGTGACTGTCGTTAAATGATCGTCGAAGATCGTCAAATTAGATGCGAAGCAAAGCGTCCCAAGTGTATTCTTTTTAGACAGAAATGCTTTATATATATTACAATATTATCATACAGTTAATAAAAATTTTTTTGCAGCGAGCAACGTCGCGTTTTCACAATTTACAATTATTATCAATAGAAACTTCTCATATTCAGTTTTATGGCCATTTATACTATAATAATGCACGAAATTATATATTTCTGCTTCATTCTTAGTACGATGCGTCAATCGAAAGTAATCTCTTCACAAAAATAGGGAAATTGCATATAAATGTATTATCCTACAAATTTGTGAACTATTTGCCATGTTGCTCTGTACTATTATTAATTGTTTGTCGATATTCAAGATTCTAATATATAACAATAAAATGTTTCACTTAAAACAAAATTTGTGTTAATGTTTAAATATATTTTATTAGCACTTTTTCTCTCTCATACTTTTCTCTTATCAAAGTAATACAAGTAATTGGCAATTTAAACATGTGCAAGAAAATTATAGCACTGCGATATAATTACAGTGACATTATATTTGGATATTTTTTTTCGAACGTTGCCTTCACGTCAAACAATACATCATTTCATCCTGCATTTTAGCTAAATCGATGTGAACACAGTTCATTAAAAATTTTTTATTTCGCGAAATGTTTAATATATAGATAAATATAAGAAATGTTCTCTTAGTAGCAAAATCATATTCTTTCAGATATCAAATTTTCGCAATAAGCATATCTTAAGGAGAGAGAAATAACTTTATAGATTATTAGAAGAGATACTAGATCAATCACGTAAGTATAGAATATAATAAATCAAATCATACTATTATTACTAATTAAGTTATATTCCGATGAGATATATTATATATAGCAATTTTTTTTGTCACCTATTTAATAACTAAGATCAAAGCAAACGAGAAATCGTCTTTTGTTCAGCTAATTCTATAGCTTCGATTATTATAAGCTCAATTACTTGTTTTTATAGAATGTTACAATAAATATAAAATATTATATGAAAGTGTATATAATCCTTGTATTATCTTAAGATGCTATATAATGTTCACCTGAGAATTAAAAAAATTGTGTATATATACCCGATTATTCAAAATTTTATTACGTTACGTGAAGACTATCGCAAAGTTTGATATATAATAAACTACGAGTTTTAAGAACAAATGTGTGACGAACGTTGATCGTTTTAAATTGTAAAATACCTTTATGTTGTTTTAAAAAGGTTTATGATCGTTACTGCTATTTAGCTTAAACGAGTTGAAATGATGCGTCAAGGAGGGTGAATCAAATAAAAGTTACATCGACCATCGATTAATACAAGATGCATGGCTAATTATGTGTTCACTTAATTTATTTTCGTTAAGTTAATTTTTCTCTTATTACCCTCCTTATCTCATAAAAATCCTTTACGATCTACGCGATCGCATTATTTGTTACTACCTATAATATATTACAGACTTAATTCGCCGTAATTAATATTAATGAACGGGAGTAAATTCTAGCGGTTCTTTATCATCTTTTCTTTTTTTTTCTCGTAGAGTAAGATATTTATAAGTGAAATGCGCAACCGATAAACGGTCAACAAGTACGGCTGTTTCATCGTAATTATGCTTGCTGTCATAAAGGAAAATAACTATATATTAAATTGTAAACGAGCGTTTGATGTATATACTATACGTACAGGATGTTCCAGATCAAGTCAATGACACTTCAGGGTCTTATAGAAAATTGAATTTGAAACAAAAAAGTTCGCATAAACATAGGTCCGGAAAAAGTCTTCGTTAAAAAGTTATAGCTAATAAACTTCAATAAATCACATTTCTTTGATGATTTTTAAAAAGAACTTCAAAAAAAAAATAACTTCATTCATTTGAAAAAAGTAACAAAATAAATCTGATAAGTAATCAAATAACAAACTAAATTACACCAATTTCATTTAATTCTGATAAGACGTTCAAAAGAAAATAAGTTCAAAACAACGAAAAAAAGCAGAAACTTGAAAGAACCATCTTTCGATGATCTTTGTATAAATATTCATAGTGCAAACATTGCGAATGCAAACATAAAAATGTTCTTAAATTTTGATCATAACTAATTACTTACAGAGAGTTTATTAGCTATAACTTTTTAACGAAGCGTTTCTGGATCTATGTTTATAGGAACTCTTTTGTTGCAAATTCAATTTTCTACAAGACTCTGAAGTTTCATTGACCTAACTTGAAATACTGACCTGTATATATGTATATAGATATATCATATTGATTGAAATCAAAAACTCATGCAAGAGAGATTGCGCATCGCAGCTCCTTAATCCGATGATCATATCCGTATAATATTATAAATTACATTTGGTCGTGATGTGTGAATGTTTTCAAATTGTCGATGTGTGTGATCTAAATATTTGATTTCCTGAAAATCTTATATCTCATAATATACATGCAAACACACACATGGTTCACGCATTTGACTCGAATGACAAAAGACATTTCCACGAGAAAATTGCCGTACCCGTCGGCGTTTTCTTGTGTAGACCATCGATTGGATAAAGAAACGTCTTCTATTTATGCTACTTATACATGTGCAATCCAATATACGTCTTAAAAATATCCGAATAGGTTCTACTTTTCTCGATCAAAAGGCAAGAGAATTGTTCCGCTCGTGTTCATCCTATAGTATGATAACGCATCTATCGGGAATACGTACTTCTTGTTTCGATGGATTGACTCTTCGTAGGTAAATTGTAAACGATCAATTCGGGGAAGCAAATTCGTCAATTTTTCTCGCATACACATCATTGCATAATGTCATCGGCCGAGCGCTTGTGTTTGAGGAGATCTACGGCAGCTAAAATCTACAAAATCTATGTAGCTGTGGCCACTTCGACAATCTCAATCTGTACTTAAATAATAATAAATGGAGAGTCTCGAAATTTTTTTTTTTTTTTGGGGGGGGATATATATATCACGTATTTCGCGAACCCGCATGATAATAATGTGACGTATCTTACAAGTATGTATTATACACATTTCTCCGTAAGATCGGAACGCTTCGTGTGTATCGTATACCTAAAATCGTAGTTTCTCTCTATACTTTATATTATATACAAATTGTAAAATGTCTTCTCTTAATTGGAAAAAGTCGTGTCGGTTTGTGTATATCATCCCTTGGTGTGTATCTATTTATTTCTTTAATAATACTTCTCTCTCTCCCATGAGAACGAGAACGTAAGAGAGGTGTATATATATATATTTAGCGTTTGTATCGACGCATTCTTATATTTTTGCACACAGACGCATTTCCACGTGCACACCAACTCATTCGCTCACGATATCGCTTTAGCATGCGTGCCTCGCATTCGCTCCCTTTCGTCCTTGCCATTCGCACTTTATTTTTTCGTATCTCTCGACTGCAAGATACACGATCACCTCCGCACACAGCCTTTTGTACGCGCACAACTTTTCAAGGTCTGCCCACTGCCTAATCGCACTTGCGACGTGATTTCACAACTCTCATTCTACTGTATTTTTTAAAGAGACGACTAAACATACTGCAAAAATATTAAAAAACGAGTTTGCGAGGATTGTATCGCTGAATATTTCAAATCATAATTAATATTCAAAATGTGTGAGCTATAAGATATATTCAGCATTAACATTTTTTCAAAATGCAATCGAGATTTTTAATAGGAAAGGATCAATTTCAACTTGATAAAAAAAAAATCGTAAATAAAAGAGAATATGCGAGAACTTGTGCATTAAATTTTATGGCAAATACATTATTCCAATATATATGTGTTATTTCTTAAGAAAATTATTTCGGCAATAATGGATCAAAAATAACTTATTAGCTACAGGCTAAAAATAACCTACCTGGCTATAAATTTATCACACGTCGCACTTGATGATGTCAGCGAACGACACAGCCATTTATTATGAATATCAGAACGGAAAAAATTTCGTCTCAATCTCTCGAGGATCAATTCTCATTTCTTACTCGTCGATTCTCACTCCTTACTCGGTAGCGCATACGTGTTAGAAATTCATTATCGTTGAGTATTATCCTAATATCCTCGGTTATGCGAACGTGAATAAACTTGAACGACAACGGTGTAGATCGCGAGAGAGTGGAAGAATTATTCACCGCATATGTCGCGTTACGAATCGGGAAAGACAAACATTTTCATTGAGGAGCAATCCCGGTGCCGTTTGCTACCCCATTTAGCTCGATTCGGATTGAACAACTCGAGTCGAGTAGTCCCGGCGATTCAACTTCGAATCACAATCCAATCTCTTAGCTATCTATACGAGACCCTACTCTCGTTCGACGAGAGCGGAACACGGGACAAGGAAAGAGAGAAAGAGCTAAAGAGGAAGAAAATAAGGGAGAGAGAGAGAGAGAGAGAGAGAAAGAGAGATAAAGATAGAGCGAGAGGAAGAGAACTCGTGGCGGTGATGATAGCGCGTCTCGACGACGATTAAAATTCGTTGAAGTCGGCGGCCCTGCCGGGCAAAAAATCTCTCTCCTCAGACGGACACTCGCCGCGGCTGCTCGTGGTAGTAATGCTCTTGCTCCAAGAGTACCACGCTCCTCGCGGCGGAGCAACGTCAGATGCTGGCGCGGTGCTGATACAGCGGCGGCAATTCCAGCGGCATGAGCGACGGCGAGTGCAGCTCGCTGCATTGCACATTCAACGCCGACAGCTGTTGCATCGGCAGCAAGTGCGAGATCTTGCCGGGCGAGCGACGCACCGTGAAACGCGGTCTCCGCCGCTTTCTCTGGAAGCCGCTGCAGCGGCAGCTGCACACCGACGCCTCATCGTCGAACGACAAAACGTTACCGTGATTGCCGATCTGGCCGGATAATATCGAGCCGTTCGCCGTTATCACGTCGCCTTCGAGACGTACCGCGCCCTGGGCCGCCTGCGGTGCAAGAATATTCATTTTTGACAATGCGTGTACTGAGAGTGAAAGGGAATTAATAAAAATTTGACTCAATAATGCATGCATAATATCTGCTACTTTAGACTATTTTTATACTGTCTTACAAAAATGCTATTTTAATTCGTACATATCTGTTTGTATGTATTGCATATATGTATAATAATAAAGCAATGCGAAAAATTCATATGTATTAATATACTATGTTTCGTAAAGTAGTGTCCACAGAGGAAAGAATTTTAAAGAACGCTACCTTACAATACAAATTATTGGTCTAACTGATAAAACACACATCCACTAAAAACTAAATATATATAATATACTTAAACGTTTATTTATTCAGCATATTTTAAATATGCGGCAAAAATATGGACCAATGTATCTTATTAGATGAAAATGAGTTATATACCTGTAACGCTTCGGCCTCGTCTCGTCTTTCATCCTCCGTATTCATGGTCACGAATCTCAGAACCAGCAAATTAAGTGAAGCCGCCACGATCGCCAAACCAAAGAGAATAAATATTAGAGCGAACATCACATACTCGGGCTTCTTGTTGAGTGCGTTGTCCTTTTGCAGCGCGACCATATCGCCGAAACCAATTGTCGTCAGAGTAATAAAGCAATAGTAAATAGAATCGAAGTAGGACCATCCCTCATATCTGGAGAATGCGGCAGCACCGCCAGCGATGGTCAAGCAAGATAACGTCGTTACCACGCAGATGAGATTTATCTCCGAGGCCTGCAATACAAATTCACAAATTCGTTTTTTCAAGAAAAACTATTGTCAAGAAAGCGCATCAGAAAATATAAAGTATACATCATAAATAAATAAATTACAAAATGATCCAAGCACAATTTAATCCTCGGACTCAAGAGAGGAACTTTCCGGTAGACCTAATATTTGGTGTCTCGAAGAAAATTTATCAGCTTGTATTATTTAAGCAATTTTTGAAATAGAAGAAATAATATAAAAATACGTAAAGGATCGTTACAGAATAATGTTATGACAGCTTAAATTAAAAAAAAAAATAAAACTATATTTTACAGAAAAATCAAGGAAACAACATATATAGTGTTGTCACGTTATTAGATAATTATTTGATATTATATATATAAGTTTGCATTGTTTTTATGAGATATACTATGTTTTTATGAGATATACTATGTTTTTAAATACAAAGTATAACTCTAAACGTAGTTAATAAAAATATATTCGATACGTTCATGTTATATTTACAAATTCAGAAAATATTTCATATAATAATCTGCTTAAAATTCTCTAACAATAAATAGCTATCTATGATTGTTTCCGAAACATATTATCGCAATTTTGCTATTCTGTTGTTTTATGAATAGCTATTTATTATTATTTTAAATACATATTTTTCGTTCAATTAAATTTTAATTTGCGTAAATTTAATTCGGAAATTTTCAGAACAATTTTAATCACATGTCTCATATACTCGCCGGCTTAAGATTGAATGTGTGCGTTCGTTTGCAGTTTCACGGATTCTGTTTGAATTATACGTGAAATGTCTGACGACGAGCATAGTTCGACTAAGCTATTGTTACCTGGACGTCCTTACAGTTTAGAAGCTGCTTTACACTCCGTATCACGACAGATGAGAATTTATTCAAGCGTTCTCCTATGCTCTGGAACATTACGAGTCCTAATGGGATACCGATAATTGCATAGCACATTGTGAATAGTTTGCCGTATATAGTATTCGGCGTCGAATGTCCGTAACCTGAAAAATGTAACGTGAAATAAGACTTCTGACAAATCTTATTATCATTGTTTTTTTAGGAACGATCAAAGAGAATGATATTTCGAATCGAGAATGCAATCCAATGTTTTACGCAAAATTCTAAAATGTACATATAATGTTATTAAACATATGTAAATATATTCTCTCTGTGACGATAAAACGATTAAACCGATTAAAATTACAATACTGTGGCTTAAACATCAAATTTCTGTGACTAATGAATATATCTCCGACGACCCATTTATGTCGCTTGAACAATTGATTATCGGTTTATCACCACTTTCAGTTTCAAAATCAAAGTTAACAAAAAATCAAAAAATTAAAGTATCAAGAAACTCATAAAATCTAAAATTATTTCGATAACATTAAAAATGAGTGAAAATAATGTAAAAAGCTTTAAATTTTTCTTGGTTTTTTTTTATATTATATACACACACGCATATAAAATAAATATAATTGTTTAAAGAGAGATTCAAAAATTAAAAAGATTTAAAATATTATATATATCAAATAATATGAAATTGCTCTTTTTGCAAACTATCATATTCGAATATCCTTCCGCGCTCACGGGATATTAAATAGGTTTGTGATGGCAATGGGAAGTAATTCAGCAGTGATTGAATACAGTAGTGGTAATAAATTTGGTTCGAGTAACTGACGATATTCAAGGCAATAACTTCGCGATATGTACCTATCGTGGTGAGGACCGTTGTAGCGTAATAAAATGCGCCGGCGAACTTCCACTGTTGGCCAGCTTTGTGAGGTTCCGTCTTCAGCACCACTGTTTCCATGATCTTGAAGTCGTCCTCGCTTATATTATATTTTCGTATGACCATCTTTTCAAGGTCTGCAATTAAGTAGAATAAAAGTACAGCGATTAGTTTGTTATATCTTGCAATCCAACAAAAATCTCTAAATGCTCTTGTACGTTATCAGTGTTTCCAATTGAGAGAGTGAATATTATGAAGCTAAATAAAAGATGATTAATGACTTTTGAACTTTCCCGAGAGTATACCTTCATATCTAACGAAAGATCCCTACATCAAAATGACAAAAATTTGATATCTTTAATGAAATTGTATGTCAGGTACGCTCTCCCTCGAACAAAGGCCAAGACTTGTCTTTGTAAAAAGAAGAAGAAAAGAAGAGATATAAGACGCGAGAATCACCACTCTACTCGGCTCCCTTCAAGATTTATAAGACTTGCGGGAGACATTTATTTATCAACGAGACAATACATAGTCGTTATGTTGTAAAGAGATCGTTCCTCTTCAACGATAGTGCAATGACTTTCTTATATTGAGTGCCTCTCTTCATAGCATATATAGCTCATACAAATATCAGTCTTTCCACAATTACACATTGTATTTCTTAGTATTATCTAATATCGCTTGTACATGTGTAGAATTTCTTACTATATGGCTAACAAGTGATCTTCACAAAAAGCAGTAAAAAACTTTTATCCCAGACAATACAAATAGCTAATAATGTTGTAAGAACGTCTAAGAAATACTCCAATCTTTCTGACGTCCTTAGAAGTTTTCAGACATTTTTTTCTAGATTTTTGTTTCCTTTAAAATCTGTTCACTCACAATCAGTGAAGTTTTATCAAAACAAGAATAAAAGAGAATGTAGAAATTATAAAATACGTATAATAAATTAAAAACAAAAACAAATCAAAATTAAGAAAACTTATATATAAAATATCTTCTTCTAAAAGATTAGTTTTAAATTAATTTTTTTGCATTATTACTTTTTTCGACATTAAATGTTATTAAAACAGAATCGAATTATTGATAAAAACGGTGTAAATCCAATTTTAAAATCATGCTGAAAACACAATGCAACACATTCTGAGATGTTTGCAAAGTACAAGCAAATCAATCATTTACCATCTAATGCTTCCTTGCGTGATTTCTCCGTCTCGGACTCGAGCACGTCGAAGATTGCAGCACCGACGAGGAGATAGGTAAGCGTGAAGACGATTAATGATAAAGTCCGGACGTTTTGCTTCTTCATTCTCTAGTGAGCCACATGCTCACTAGCAGGGCCCCGGCCCTAATTACTTGCATCGCTCAATGAGGTACGACTTGCGTCATCGGGTCCATGACGAACCCTCTCTTCCGCTCGGTGACACTTGACGGGGGCCCCTCTATGCCCTATCTCTATGCTACAGACCTGGCACGCGATTCCTTGTTTTCAGGATATCTCCTTCCTTGCAGTAGCCTTCATGCAGTCGTTTCCGTTCATCTGAAAGTACATATCATATTCCTACATATCTGACTATAGTTTAAGATATAAAAAGATAAGTAAAAGCATTGCAATATACAGCAATTTATATTAATAAATCGAATTAAAAATAAATCTCTCTGATAAAATAAGAAGCAACCGAGATAGTAATTGGAGCATTGAATCGATTTTATGATATCCGAAAGAGAACCAATGATACGAACGAAATTTACGAGTCCCCGCTGCAGCAATACGTTGCGTTATTTTTAAAGATATGGGTCATTTAAGAAAGCCCATGAAGACTGAAATCGATTTCACATTTCAATCTCTTCCTCATTTTCGGAATCTTTCTGCTAGCTTGAAATTAAGATGTACGACACGAAAAGATATAATCGTTTTAGCGACTAAGCGAGGTGGCCTGTTTTAAAATCCCCCTTTTTTCCTCGTCGATGAAGCGAGACGAAGCTATTTTCACGATGAGGATTAACTGAGCAAAAAATCTGCTGATTTAGAAGGGGGCTCACCTGCAGCCTGTTCCGGGTTTTCCTTTAGGTACGACGAAGAGTTGAGCAGAATGATATGGCAGTGCTTTCGCTGCTCCCACTGCCACGTTCCCTCCATTCCTCAGCTTAGCACCCCCGTTTTCAGAGCCGACTAAAAAAAAAAAAAGATGAAATTTTAATGAGCAACGAAGCACATTTTGCTGGAAAATTATATCCTATAATATATTCGGAAAACAATAGCAGATAGAATTTATTTTGCCGGTATCCCCAATATCGTTTTTCATTTAAAATAAAATAATCCGAATATATTATATGTTTTCCTCTATCGAAAAGTCGAAGCAGTACAACAATACAAATTATGTTGAATCAAATTGTTTTATGCAAAGGCGATAAGAATACTCGAATAAAATGAAAGATATATTGTATATATATATAAGTTAAATATGATTTAACTTAAAAAAAAAATTTGTAAAGAAAACTTATAATAATTGGCATCGAAGATAAAATTTTATTATATCAAGATAGATAAATATATAGATACGTAAATATAAGTAATATACATATATAATACCAACAATGTTAACTCATTATCGCTTTCGCAACTTATTGCATGAGAGTTTGTATGAACATAAACAGATATAGCGCTCCATGTCGACTGTCATGTTGTACTTGTCAGTTGACGTGTACATTATACTTCACTTTGCAGTTTCGCGTATCCTGGATACAATTAGTCACGATCATTTACGTAACTGTAGTTCAAAATATCAAGTGGAATGAATTTCATTTACAGATAAAACATTGCCAAACGATAATTTGGAAAGACCGATTAAAAAATTACATTTATTAAAATTCTTTTTATGATTATAATTTTAATTTTATATACAATTGCAATACAAATATAATCTTCTCTTATAGTTTTTTTATACTTTGTCATATTTGCTTCGTCGTATTTTTCTTCTACGCATTTATAATGCGTAGAAGAAATTATTGTAATTAAATATAATATAATAAAACAAAGAATAGCAAATCCCTCCTCCCCGAAAAAAAGAAAAGATCAATAACAAAATAAAAAAATAAATATTGTATTCAAAAATATAAATGCAGTTAAAATAGATTTAGAATCTAAGAGTGTCAAACTAGCCTTTGGCAAAATTAGTTAATCGATTCTAATTAAACGTTTTATTATTCATTGACTTGCTAATTATCTTTAATTAAATGTTCAAGAAAGCGAAATTGTTCAATCCATGTTAAGATTAATGAATAGCAAGCAATATTCTTATGCTGCGAAAAAATTGATAATAATGCATAAAAATTTTCCTTCTCAATCCGTACATTTTATCAGAGGGTAGTGACCTCTTTACATATACCTGCGGTGTGCGTTGTTTTTTTATAGTTTTATTGCAAGATATTCAATATTAATTGCAAATGATTGATTTTCATATTATATGCATTCTTTATATCGGCATAGTATCGAGGATTATATGAACACATACATATATGTAGCAAAACAATTTAAACCGTGAATACGAGAAGTAACATTTCTATCGCAGATTACAATCGGTGAGCTGAAATATTAATGCACCATGCATTTATTCATGAAACTGGAAACACAATCGACGAAAAAGATATGTATTTGTAGTATTCAAAATTAAATTCACCAAAATCACATATATAACAATTTCAATCGCTACTTCAATATTGCCTACATGGCGTTATCCTAAATTTTGGAATGACCTTTCTTTCAGCGGAATATTTCACGATAATTCAGCTTACATATGTGTTTCCCAAAAAAAAAAGAAAAACAAGGATAAGCCATTTCGTTATATTAAATATGTAAAATGTGCTAAATATACATATATGCGTGCATATGCGTATGCGTACAAATGCGTACTTATTTTCATTGTATTCGCAGCTTTATATGTATACATGTGCGTTCGCGTTTTCTCGACAATCACATAAAGATAATATGATTTACTTTGTAAGCATAATTTTGCAGTCATGTATCTAATTCCATTGCGAATTAACTTCTTTCTTTGATGGGACTTGCATGTTCAATAAACTGCCAGTTAGCAATGCTTATCTCATAAAAATGTTATAATAATTTTTAATTAAACTTTTATAATTAAAATATTTTCTTTGCCTCTCTAATCAATGCTTTTAGAGATAGGATAATCGGATATCCTTTTATATATTATACATATGTATAATATGAATTTTTAATTTATTATGTTGAAAATATAATATATTTCGCATTTAGCGTCTATTAATTGCACGCATAAAATTTTCAAATTTGTAAATATAATCTTTGATGATCTCTAAAAAAAAGAAACTATATATTATAACTTAATATATAATTGAGATCATAATCCTAACTTATATAAATTCAGATTCAAAGGAATTATATATATACACAGAAATTCATAAAATAAGTTTGATAAAAGCAAACCATCAAAAAAATTCATATTTATAAATAAAATTCATATTTATAAATAATTCGTACATAATAAAAAAAATGTCAAAAGCTAAGGGAGGCAGGAAAAGAGAGAAGACAACAGAAAAAGAGATAAGGAGAAACGAAGAGAGTGAGGAGAAAGCGAAAGGGAAACTTTGCGAGACAGAATATCTGGCAGGGAAATTCGAGGTTCCTCATCATGCAGCCAATTCCAGATAAGCTCTGGCAATTCTGAAAGCAACGAGTCTAGCAACGTCGAGTCAAATCAAATCCTCTCAAATCCTCTCTCTCTCTCTCTCCCTCTTCATCTTTTTGCCTCTCGTTTAAATTAACGTTTGCGCGATAGCCGGTTAGATTGGCGTTAGATTGGATATGCTTGTGTTTTATTAAATTTATGATAAATTGCTTCCGAAATTCTCATTCGTGATGCGGACGATATTAAGAAACGAGAAAAGGAAAAGAAAGAGAAGGAGAAAACCATCCTCGCGTACTTAACCCGTGAAAGAGAGGCCGCAAAAATCCCTTCGTAAATCAAGATAACGATCGTGATTAGAATCGCGGGGTTTTCTTTCACAAGGGGAAGAATCTGCTGAATACATTTAAAACTGATGCTTCCGATATGCAGTATTAGCGACGGTAATGATCGATGAATGCATAAATCTGTCATTCTAAAGAGAGTGATCGGCATTTACACCTAATCCGGATGTGTTCGAATATTCCGTTTTTGTTGCTGTCGAACGGAGACTAAGTTGAATCCGTTTAGTCAAGATATTTAAATAAGCCATTCCTTGTCCAAAAAGAAAAAATAATACTAAATAATAATTTACATAATGTTTCAACTAGTGTTTGCTGAATTGCACGATAATAAATCAAGATCTAAAAATATTGAAATGACTTTTTCAAACATATTTAAAGAATTGTACATACATATATAACTTATTTCTAGCAATAAATATTTAAGAATCATAATAGCCTGTCTTAAGATTAAAAACTATATAT